ATGGAGACATCTGGGGTCTCCAAGACCCCTAATGTCACCTAGGACCCCCCAAAATAAGCTGATGAAGCACAGATCTGCTCCATCAGCTTCTTTGCAGCTTCTGAAGCTGAAAGAACCCGGAGGTGTTGGCGTGATATCACGGCGGCTCGGCCGGGTTCTCAGTGTGTAATGACAGTTCAGCATCTCCTGGTTACCTAGTAACTGCTCTCCTGCAGTTCTCCTCACCGCTCAGCCATCCTGAAACTTGTGCTTCTCCCCGCCAGCCGACGCTTGCTCCTCCGCCCCCCGCTGGAAATTTTTTTATCCCCGCTGCCACAGCCCCTACAAGCGGGGGACAGTAGCGGGGATCCATTGAGTCACAGATCCCTGCCTGGAGCGACAGTAAAAATATTTTACTGTCACCAGTTTATGAATGGGGTAGCCTCTGTAGTGAGTGCTAGTCCCCATTCATAAATGTATGAATGACCAGGAAGTGATGTAAATCAGACGATCGCTCCGGTGTTTGCTCTGCACAGGAGGATCGATAGATATCAATGATATTTATCGATCCCCCGCTCAGCCATGCTACAGAGCCGCTGTCATCCAAAAACTGACAGGATGACAGCGGCTCCGATCACTATGCCGCTCGGCCATCCTGAATTGCGGCCAGTCGCCGCTCGCTCCCCCGCCCCCACATGCCAGAAAGTCTCCTGAGTAATGGGAGGCACTGACAGAGTGGGCAGAATCCACATGTAACTTTTGAACTAACCGGAACCAACTGAAAATCTTCAGATCAAGAATATGGCGCGCGCGCACACACACACACACACGGAACCGATTGGAATACAACCCCTGAAATGTATCTGCCTTCAGAACAGAGACTATGGCCCCCTGAGACAGGCGCTGATTTAGGGCAGCAAAAAGATCAGTTTGTCTTCGAGGAGATCTTGGAAAGTTTGACAGCAGAAAGCAAGAGGGAGGAAGAAATTAGCAAAATTTCAGTTTGTATCCCTTGGTTATGACACTCTGGACCCAGGCATTAGGAATGTCCCAGACCAAGGAGGCAAAAATAGTGTACAGGTTTCCATCTGTTCCTATACTTGAACAGCATACTTATATTACTTACTGTGGTATGCACCTTGAACATTAAATCTTTATTAACCCATTGACTGCTATTTATCCATAAGATGTATTGAAATTTCTCTAAAAGTTTATATGGATCATTAATTATGTTATACACAGGTGCTGGAAATGTTTTCTCTTGGTCCTTTTCCCCCCCAACATTCTCTATATTTGTTTTGCTGGGCACCACTAATAAAATTAAATATAACTCTTGTGATTGGACATTCCTATCTTGTGACTGGACATTCCTATATAGTGTACTTTGTCTCATATACTGCTATTTACTGTCTGTATTTTGTACCTAAACACTTCTAATGATACACATTTTTAAAAGGATCCAAAGCAAGAACAATTTCATTTAGGTGTTGCTTTTGGCCTGGTTTAGGTGTCGTTGCTGTCATTTGGCAGAAAACTGGAGTTTCTGCATAATCAAATACGGCACTCGTATCACATTTTAAAAGGTGTGCTCTAATTATTCTTTTTGTGTCAGAAACTTAAATTCTCAGTTGTTCCTAATATTACTTAGTACTGTTTTATTTTTCAAATCTGCATACATGTGTCAAGAAAAAATCAAATCAATGTCCTAAATTGTTCTCACTACTTTCCATACAATTTACTCTGCAATGATTTATATCACGTTAATAATACACATTAGGGTATATATACAGTATACAGGTCCATGCTTCCTTTTGTGCTTTAAAATACAGTCCTCAGATTTTTTGAGTACTTTCAGCCTCATTAAAAATAAATTTTAAAAAATAAATAATACTGCAGCTAAGTAGTTTGACTGTCAGATAATGTTGCAAATATAAGGTTTATTCTCTGATATGAAAAATGAGTTGAAGAAACAAGGGCATTTCAAACTACTTATTTAGTTTAATGCCAATATGTGTTATTTAAGATTTCCTCCCAGTAGTTGATCTTCAAATCAGGTTTAGGGCAGCATTTATTCGCCCCAGTTAGCAGACTCCATGAACAACTGGGCTGAAAAGATCACGCTGGCACATAGTCTAAACCCTAACACTTAACCTAAACAATAAAACCCCTAACCTGGATCCTAGCGCTTAACGTTAAAACCTATCCCAATGTGGACCCAGCTTTTCCTGAAATATTAACCCTAACCCTTAAAATTATAATGTTGCCTACACCCTAAAATTGTACACCACAAGCCTCACCTCCTAACTCTTGGCCCTTATCTGACACTTACATAGTTACATAGTATTTGAGGTTGAATAAAGACACATGTCCATCAAGTCCAACCTATTGCGTGCGTGCGTGCGTGCGTGCGTGCGTGTGTGCGTGTGTGTGTGTATAGATCCCTGAGTCGTCTCGTTATTAGGAGTACTTGTTTGTACCCCTGTATATTGCCGTTTCTCAGGAAATCGTCCAAAAGCCTCTTGAACGATTCCACACTATTAGCCGAAATCACTGCTTGTGGCAACGAGTTCCAGACCCTAACGGCTCGAACTGAGAAGAACCCCCTTCGCCCCTTGTGTAACTCAATGACTCATTCTAAATTACCCCTGCTGAAGGATACCTTCCCTATTAGTTGCTTGAAGTGTCAGAAACCTAACTGTTCTCCATTAAAATCCACCAGCGCTGAGATCTCATCAACACTGATCCACATACAGCATATTAACATTGTAATGACGTATGGCAATATTGTCCTAGAGAAATGGTGGGTTGGGGAGAATTGAAGTTATGCCAAAGTATTTTGACTTACTTGATGTACTTTACTGTATCTTTCCTTAAAGTGTATCTAAATAAAAAAACAAGTATGTTGTATTTTTCAGCTCACCAGTCCAACCACTAGAGGTATGCTGGTATTCTTTTTCCCCCCTTCTTTTAACCTGGTAATCCTTAAAATAGTATACTTCCTTTCCCTGGTTGGCTATACTCACTACTCCAGTATCTATGGAGCAAACTATGGTTGTCACCCAGGCTGGACTTTAAACATGTGTGCCTCTGTTTATTTACATTACATGGGGGATGGAGAGCTTGTAGTTTAAAGACAGCAGATAAAATTGGTTTTGCTTTTAGTTTAGTTCACAGGAATTTAAAAAGAACACTGCATTTCTGGCAAAGTCAGCAGGTATTTTGTGTGCTTGCTAAAAATGTTCATATACTGAAAAATGAAGACTAATGCAGCCACCTCATCTAAGGACTGGTAAGCTGCAACATATTACATTTTTCTTGGGTTTAGTTACCCTAAACTGCAGAGATAAAGATGTTACTATAGTTTTCGAAAAGAAACTTGCAGTTTTTCAGAATATGCATAGGATCAAAGCCTGTAAATAATAAATTCAATTAAACTCTGCCTATGTATCATTACATACCAATTAGAGGTACACCGAAATTAACATTTCAAAACCAAAATGAAAAATAATGTCAGTCCACAACTGAAAATGTTTTTTTTTTCTAACTTACTAACTTTTTCAAATATTTTTTTACATTTTTTATTTATTTTTTTATATTTTGTTTTTAATTATTTATTTTTATTAAATATTTTTATTTTTTTCTTTACTGTTGGGGGCTTCAGGGAAATATTAGGGGTCTAAACAGACCCCTGATATTTCCCTTTTAAAATAGAAAAAGAGATTGAGAACACAGATCTCTTTTTTTGCAGCCCCTGTTATAAATGAACAGGAAGCCTCTATACTGAGTGTTCCGGTTCATTCATAACTTGTGGAGATAGTATGTTTACTGTATCCACAATCATGAAAGAATAGGAAGTGATGTAGACCATTCATTCATAATTGGGGACACAGTAAACATACTATGTTACATAGTTACATAGTTAGTCAGGTTGAAAAAAGACACATCGAGTTCAACCTATAGAGAAAAAAAAAAGAAGAAAAGCCTACACAGAACGCTATGCCCCCAATCACCCACTGTTGATCCAGAGCAAGGCAAAAAAAAAACCCTATAAAGCATAGTTCAATTTGCTCCAACAGGGGAAAAAAATTCCTTCCTGATCCCATAGGGCAATCGGATATTCCCTGGATCAACAATCTCTGATGCCTAATATACCTATAATAACTCAATATCCAGTAATATTCTGTGCATTTAGGAATACATGCAGATATTTTTTTAAACAATTAACCGAGCTAGCTAGAACTAGCTCCTGGGGAGTCTATTCCACATTTTCACAGCTCTAACGGTGAAGAATCCTTTCCGTATGCAAAGGTTAAACCTCTTTTCCTCCAGACGCAAAGAGTGTTCCCTTGTCCTTTGCAATGCCCTTAACGTGAATAATTTGGCACCAAGCTCTTTATATTGACCATTTATGTATACATGGTGATCATGTCCCCCCTTAGTCGCCTCTTCTCCAATTATTGTCCTCAATTATTTACATACACTCAGTGATCATTGATCGCTGAGTGCTTGTACCCGCTCTCCATCCTGACTCGCTATCACAGGAGGCTGAGCGAGCGGTGTGGGGAGGAGAGCTCTATCTCCTCTGACAGCTGGCTCCTCCCCCACACTGCCGACCTGGCCTTCTTTAACGGCTGGGTCCGCCCACACCGTCGCTCTCCCGATCTGTCACAGGAGGCTGAGCGGCTCAGAGCGCTCTCCTCCCCCGCACCGCTCGGCCTCCTGACAGTTTCTCTCCTCCCTGCTAGGACACAGAGCAGCGCCCAGCGGGGAGGAGAGAAAGGAGGGATGCACCGCTATTTCGACCGAAAAATGGCCGAATTTTTAGTGCATGCCTAACACCAATACTATTCTGATTAAAGGCACATGTTGGGACCTTTTTTTTTATAAGATACTAATTGAATCATGCTCTTGGAGTATTTTTGTTACCAATGTGCAAATTACTTAGTGTATGTAAGGACCATGTTTTAATTTTAAATGATCACTTTTGAATGTCACATGTAACAATCCTGGTATATCCACAGGTAAGAAATCTATGTTACATGATTACCCGGAGGGAAAGGACGAAACACTCCATATGCAAACTTGAAGAGCAAATCTTCCAGCTGCAGATGAAGCTTGTCGAAAAAGATTTTTACCACGGTAAGAAACCAAGAAGCCAAAAACATTGTTATGTAATATTCTGTTTATTTTACTTTCAGAGATGTATAAACTCAATGAAATACTTAACTGTTTGCCCGCAGTAATGTAGCTGAGCCATAAATCACAGTGTCATTTTTATGTGTTCATTTTAAAAACAGCTTTATTTTTGCTCTGTTCACTGCAATCATCCACTTATATACTTAATTTCCACTGCTTAGAAAATATTTTCCACTGCTTAGAAAACCATTATAACTGTTCACTTACATACAATAATAGGGTTAAAACGAGAACTATGAGGTGAGTGATTTCCACTCATCCTCATAGTTAGAGCTGACCTGTGACAAAGAAGCTGTCACAGGTCGGCTCTATTGATCAGGAAGTGAACAAACATATACCGTTACTCGCTCACTTTCCGACCATCTAGTCACCGCTCCCCGCAGGGTTTCCCCCCTCCCCTCTCAGATCCTCCAGCACTGAGTGAAAGAATGAACGGGGGAGGAGGTGGGCACAGCTGGCTCTGCTTCTAGATAGGCAGAGCCAGCTGTCACTCACACAGCTGGGTGGATCTCGACAGTATTGTTGGGATCCGTCCCGGCTGCGGTGCTCTCAGTATATTGTGGGCAATAGCCTGCAATATACTGAACTTTGGGTCACGGGAAGAGGTTAGTATTTATCCTCCCCTGACCCTAAATAGAACTATGGGGAAAAACGCTTACCCCATAGTTCTCTCTTAAAGCAAATCTGTTAGGAAAACAGGTTCAAAGGTATATTTTAGTCATTTGTATTTGTTTCTTGAGCTGATGTTGATACATTTAATTAAAGATGCAGACCCCAGGGGTGTCCTCTGAGTGGATTGTATGCTTCAGCTACTCTAAATGTATAACATTTGGGTTGTCCCTATAATGAAGTAACATCTCATGGGCAGGCGGCAGGCAGAATGGCATGGCTGCTCTGCTGCACAATGTTTGCAGTGTACCTGCTGTCCCCTTTCCAGCTAGAGCATCTCAGGTTGCTAAGAGCTGGGTGGGGAGATGTGTAAGGGCCATACACATCTCTCCTCCCAGCTTTTAGAAACCTGGGACGCTCTTGCCAGCATCCCACCAAGATCCTGGTAACCGCTAATGCCACGGGTTGCCGGACGCTCCGTGGCATGCCAGCCATAGTGTCCCGCTGAGCTCTTGGCAACCAGTGACATTATTGGTTGCCAGGAGCTTGGTGGGACTCCCTTGCAGGCATCCCTCCCAGGCCCCTCCTACCCACCCCCGCTGCCTCAGGCAGCAAAAAAGCTAGGGACCCCCCTGTATAACATGCACACATTAATGCTGAAAGGACACATGTATAGTCCATGAAGTTTTGTGGCTAAATAATTTGGTAACATCTGACTACAACAGTTCTGCTGCACATTGCCACTGAAATAGTAATGGGGCCTTCTGATCACCAGCAGGTCTGCTGATTATAGATCTGCTACATATTGGTCATTTAAAACTTGCTAATTACTTTATACCAGTGGGAGAAAAGTGGTGTTTAACTTCAGCATTCCAGGTTGACAAGAAAACGGTAGGTTTTAGGCCTCAGAAGGCCTTTTGACTGACAGGTGGACATATCTGATGACATCATATTATTACATGTAGACAGCCCCTTAAAACAATCTGCAGGTTAACCACAGATCAAAATATAAGCAAATACAAGTGCTATCTATGATCAGCATAGCACTTTATCTTGAGAGAAGGTAGGGTTATTCAGGGTTAATTTATGCTTGACAACTTGATATAGCTGCTGAACTCCTCTTTATAAAGGGTTCCATAAGATTATGAAGTCTACATTTCTTCATTTTACATTAAAGGCTGACACAATAGGATGAATCATTTAGGTACATAGTGTCATGCTGCTGCCTGCGGGAGATTGGATACTGGCAAATAAAGCTTTAAGGGCAGCCTAGTGTACACCCCCACACCCATCATGCTGTAGTTTGTTTTGTTTTTTTTGCTAGTCTCCAAAGAGAACAGACATCTCTCTTCAGATAGAGGCAAACTCTTTTTCTGCTTTTTCCTCCAGATTCTTTTTTCTTCTAGCAAACCTCTACAGTTGCTGCAGAGCCAGTGGAGTTCATTTTGCAACTCTCCAGATTGACTGTTCTTTGCCATAACCTTAGAGGCCATACCAGACTCCGCTATGTAAAAGAAGCAGACTTGTAATGTGTCCTCGGGGCACTGGGCTCTGCTGAGGAGCTTTCCAAGACCCTTTTGGAGTAATATGTGGGTTAGCCGCAGAGTGCTTTACAGGTCCAGGGCCGTGGTACACCTGTCTGGTGGAACCCTGTCTTTGAAAATGTCCACCAGTGAAAGCTATCTGGATGGGGCATGTCCCCTGGTTTGTGCCCTAACTTCCTCCAGTGTGCCATGCTTGGAAGAGACTACAGGGTTTCTTAGGACCACCATCTGGTATGTTTACTTGTGCCCTTTACTTGTGAAAGATTGGCATGTGCTTTACTGCTCGGAGGAGTCTCCTAAGGGGTTAACTTTGTTTAGGAGATTAACTCTGTTAAGCTTTGTATGCAAGTGTCCAATCTTCTGAAGGCAGGAGCATAACTTTATGTTCTTGAATTACTCAACCTGTGTTCCCTAATGTCCTCCAAGAAAATGATTTTTGGCTAAGTCAAAAATCCTATTTTACCTTTCCAGTTCCCTGAGTTTTTAAATACTTTTTCAGTGACTTTTGGATGAGTGTTGTTCTATTTGGATCAAGCAGGTTATGACATGTAAAGGAGGGATCTTCAGTGGAAAATGGGCATGGTTGTGGTGTAACTGATTGATTGGACAGCTCTTTCCTGGCAGAGGTTGTAAGGTTTCCTTGACCAGTGAGCAATAAACTGAGTATGCCCGCCTACAGTGACTAACAATGTAAGAGGGCAGTTCTCCACTGACCACAAATTCCCACACTTAGTATAAGGGGACACTTGTCTGTCTATTATTAATAGTTTTAATGATTATTATAGACACAGGTAGGATTGTAAAATAATTGGCTCTGCATGTAAAATGTTTTAGGTATGCCATATTTATTCTTTTAATTCAAACTTTCAACAGGTTACTGATCATGCTTTTTTTTTAACCAGGAAATGTAGATATATATTTTCAGCAGGGGTTCTGATACCTCTGCTCTGGTTCCTTTTGGGGTAAAAAGGTTGAGAATGGCTGTTTAAACCCCTCACCACTGGATTCAAATAATTAAAAAAACAAGATTTTGTCTTTTTACTTTTAAATGTGGTTGGGGTTTGATCTAGTGCTGCTTTAAAGTAGCATATATTTATGAATTGGGCTGCCTAATTTTCATAACTCTGTCTCATATCTGTGCCACCGCTTCTGTATGACCGAATTGATAAATGTCCCACCAGATTCTGTAAAATTACCTAATTTCTAACCCCCTAAAACAATATGGCAGCATAACCAACACATTAATGTTTGGCTGTATATGGTCATACGAAGTTAGTATATTGGTTTTTGCTTTGATCTTTGACTCACAGAAAGCAGAATTGAATGCCACTAAAGGTGATTTCAGGAGAGGTGGGAAGCCCGGCTTATCCTATCCTATACTAAATTAGCAAGGTTGTCCTATTTTCATGCTGAAAGGCTGGGGTTGTCCTCTACTCAAGTTGAGTGGCATAGGTTGTGGTCTAATCATACTGGATGGCAGAGGTTGTTCTCTACTGATATTGAATGGCAGGGGTTGTCTTTTACTCATGAGTGTCAGGGGTTGTCCTCTACTCATAATGAGTGTCAGGGATTGTCCTCTACTCGTAATGAGTGTTAGGGGTTGGCCCCTAATCAAAATAAATGGCGTGGATTTTCTTGTTCATACCTGCACCAGCCAGCTGTTTCTTGCTTCTGTAAAATATTTTACAAAATAGAACCCTTTTAAAAGTATTTTAACTGTAATTATCGACTATAATTCAGCTTTCATTTTCACTGTATAAATAAATTGCAGATTTTTACCTCTCGCCCGGATTCACACCTAGGCGACAGCATTTTCACACGTAGAAACGCTTTTGCGCGTTTGAGCACTTTTTACGTGCATAAAACACGCATATATTAAGTCGCACATTTTTATGAGCAGATTGTAACACATTAATGTAAATGGCAAAAACACGCACAAACGCGTGTAAAATTGTGCAAAGCCAATTGCAAAGTGCGTTTCCTTTTGACTCTATTGGGACAAAACGAGCTATAATCTGCCAAAAAGAAGCTCTTGTACTTTTCCCAGCGACAGGCGTTTTGCTTATTGCGACAAAACGGTCAGGTGTGAACAGGGGCCATAGGAATGTGATTTTTGGGCAGTCTGGAGAGTTTGTGTTTCTTCTTTCTTAGTTTTCAAGCAGGTTATACTGATGATTTTCTTAAAAAAATGTTTCTAGAGATAGCTTCCTGTCCATTTCTTGGCAACTAAGGCAATAAGTCCTGAGAGCAGAAGTGGAAAGAAAGTAAATTGTGTCCAACTTCACATTTCATATACTGTATTTCCCATTTTCTCAAATTTGATGGCACAATAAAAGTAGACAAGCCAAATGTGAACCTAGTTTTTTCCAGAGGCTCATCTAACTGGTTGACTGTCTGTTCAGGCTTAATGTTTGTGGGTATGGAGCACATTCTCAAATTATCACATATTTGGTTTCCTCAGCAGACCCCTCGAGTGGGTCGCCGCAGTGTTGGTCACTCCCCAGCCGCCTGATGTCGCTGCAGCAGTCAGTGGGGAGGAGCAGAGAGAGGGATGCGAGTGGGAACGACACATGAACAGTAGGTGAGGAGGTTCCCTTCCCGCCGATACTGCTTCACTGACTACCATGGGCCGTCTGTATCATTTGGCCAGGAGGGGGCCCATCAATGCAGGAATGCTGGCTGTGTTCGGTGTCTCGGCTTCCATTGTCTGCTTCATCCACTCTGCACACTGCGCTGTCACCAGGCTCCGCTGTAAATGAGCAGCATGTCCTGCCCTGAGAGCCGCTCCGA